CTATTGGCCTGCACATTCTTAACAAAGGGGCTCTATAGGGAGATACCAATTTAATATGAAACTTAATATCAAAAAAGTTATGATTATAATATGTGCATTGCAAGGTAATGCTGTAATAATGGGAAAGGTATAATAATGCTTAGAGAAGAAGGCTTGTCAGTGTCCATTGGAGAGGATCATCTGATTTTAATGACTGGGACTGGTTTTATAGGTAGAGAAGGCAATTTGGTAAAGATAACTCTTAAGGACATCCAACTTTCTTTGCTCAGATTCTAATTACAAGTTAATTACATTCTGTAAGCATTTATTAAGAACCTACTACATACACTACATATCAGGCACTGTGTTAATTAGTAGCTAACATTTATATAGCACTTTTAGTTTTGCAGCTTCACAATAAGTGGAGGAGGTAGGTGCTATTATTATCTTCATTTTACTGGCAAAGAAACTGAGACTGAGGGAGATTAAATGATTTACCTAGGGTCATACAGCTAGAAAGTGTCTGAAGCAGAATTTGAACTCAGGTTTTCCTGAGTCCCAAGTGTAACACTCATTCAACTTAATGACCTAGAGCCTAAGCCATAGGACTATAAAAACAGAATAGTCCCTGTCCTCAAGGCACTTACATTTTACTGTAGGGATACATTTTGGGCACAGATTAGTAAATTAAAAGCATTTTGAAGAAAGAGAGAGTATTAGGAACCAGGGTGGGGGTGGGGGGCGAATCAAGGAGGGATTGATTTAATGACAAAGTGGCACCTGGGCTTAGCCTTGAAGGAAAATATTCTGGAAGGTGTGATTAAAGAGAGAATATTCTATGTTTGGGGGATAGCTTGTTGGTGTTGATATGTTGAGTTCAAGGGACAGCTAATTGTACAGTTTGTCTTGAACATAAAGTGCATAAGGGAAATACAGTCCCTAAATTGGATACAAATTATAAAGGTCCTTGAATGCCAGACTAAGAGATTTGTAATTTTCTTAGGGAGTCAGTCAATTTTTGAGCACAGTAATTACCTGGTCATGCCTAGGCCATAGGAAGTTTATTGCAAGTGTGTGAAAGATGCATTTGTGCAATGGTTTGTAACCTAGGTTACAATTTGGATGGGATGAAAATTACATCTTTATTTCTACAAACCTAACTGAAATTTAGCACTTCCTTCAGTTACTTAAAAACATTATCCTGAGAAAGGGTCCATAGACTTCACTAGAATCCTAAAGGCGTGCATGACACAAAAAAGGTTAAGAACCCCTGCATTAAAGGGAAGGAGAGGGTGAAGAAAGGGAAACTAATTAGTAAGCTATTAAAATAGTTCCGGTGAGGGATAATGAGGAATCAGATTCAACCTCAACTATTATTCAGCTTCCTGGATGGAAACAGTACTGGCTGAATTAGTAGCATCTGATCTTGGCCCAGTCTAAATTTCTTCACTCCTAATCTGTTGCTCTAAACACTGTTCTTTCCTTTTGTCTAATTTATTCACTTCTATGTTTAAATAATAAATATATACACTTTATTCAGTACTATTTGGTTTTCCCCACTGCATTTTTAAAGGCTGAATAAGTGAATCCTTTTGGTTTATTTAGTTCAGACTAAATTTTACTTCAACTCATCCAAATCTCAGTGCTGCCTTTTGGATGACTATAATTATAAACAAAAAAAGCATAATGTCATATGCCATTTGCTTGAAAGCCAAGATTGTGTATCTAGTAATTACCCAATTTAACCACACAGGATATCATCTATTTTATACCTTTTGTTAATAAATTATTTTTATTTAAATAAAAACATGCTTCTACTTGTTATTTACATATTTTGTAGTGCTTCATATTTCAAAATCATGAATCACAAAGGTGAGCTTCTCCTTATCCCTCTGAATTTATTACTATCAGTAAGTCAATGAGTCAAGCAAATAAGTATTCAGTGCTTACAGTGTGCCTAGGACTGTGGTAGGTGCAATGGAGGATATGAAAGAGATAGTAGACTTGGTTCTTGATCTTTCAGATGTCAATAATTATTGTTATTGTTGTTGAGTCAGAGATAAATTATACCTACCTACATGTAAAGGGAAGCATCACTTTAAGTGGGGCTGATGAAGAAGAGGGTAGAACACATTCTAGGGTCAGGGAACAATATGAGAAAAGCTATGGAGCTGGACATGGCTAATGCAGATACTCATTTTGCTTGATTATACATGTTTTTAATGGATTTTGTTTTTCTTGCTTTCTCAATGGAGAGGGGAGAAAAGGGTAGAGGGGATGGGGATATGGAAGGGAGCATATTTGGAGCTGAAAACAAAATAAAATTTAATCTAAAAAGACAAGTTATATAGGTAAAAATGAGCAGGGTGTGTGTAGGTAGGTAGGTAGGTATTTCCCTACTGGGGAATGCATTTTGTAAGTTTAGTCCAAATCTCAGGGCTGTTTCAGCTCTTTTCTTATTCAGCCCTATAGCTGTACTCAGCCAAACACATGGAAAGTCCCTTAGGTTAAGTCTGTATTTTTTAAAATTTTCTTTTTCTTTCTTGCCCTCACTCCAGCATAATAGTTGAGTTAGGGTCAGTAAATTTCTTTCACCTCTCATTGAGTCTTTGACTTTGCACTAGGGCAATATAAACACTTGGCAAGATTTAGGGAAATGGGTGAAGGGGACAAGTTGGAAGGTTTGGTCCCAGTTTGCACCTAAGTTCTTTTTTTCTCAAGAAACTCTTCTTACCAAGAGAATGTTAGAGCTAGAATGGACATTAAGACTGTGCAACCCTTTCATGTGAGCCATGAGAAAAATGAGCCTCAGAGTAGCTAAATGATGGAAGTCAAATCTTTTGATTTAATGATTTACTCCCTTTCCATCTGCTGTGGTCAGTTCCTCTCCTTATATATGGACAATTCTAATAAAAACCACTAAAGACTACAACTTTTCAATTTTTGAAATTTGAAAACTTAACATACACAAAACCTTACTCTTAAAGCAAAATCATGTTTAATCGAAGAAAGGATAAGGCCCACTCTTTAGAGTAGAGGGGAAAATAATAACAAGTGATAGAGAAAAGATAGTCCTTCTCCTGTTGATCTGCAGACTGGGAGGCATTAAATCATAATATATCCTAGGATATTAAAAGAACTTGTATGTGTTATTACTGTACTACTGTTTGTGATTTTTAAAAACTATGGATTATGGAAGAGGCACTAAACAATTGGAGGTGGACAGATAGCCTGATTGTTGGCACTAGATGGAGGAATGGTTTGAATTCTGGACTTGGAGGCAGGAACTACCTGAGTTCTAGTCCTATCTCAGATACTTAATTTGCTGTATGACCCTAGAAAAATCACTTAATGTCTCTCAATAATAAGCATTTATTAAATGCTTACTGTGTGCCAGGAACTGTGTGTGCTACGTGCTGGGAATACAAATACAGGCAAAAAGAAAGATATTGTCTGCCCTCAAAGAGCTTAGATCCTAATGGAGAAAGACAATACATAAAAGGAAGCTAAAAATGAGGGATGGAGGGACAGAAGGAAGGAGAGAACATACCCAAGACATGGAATGGTGGAGAAGTCTTAAGAATCAGAAGTTGAGCTAGGAGAGGAATGAAGGATGACTGGCCAGGGTATTTCCATAAAAAGGAAGTTCCTGGAGGAACTGACCAATCAGAGGAAGGGGCTGCCCAGGTAGAAGGAAATTTCAGGGGGAGAATATTGCTGGAGCATGGTGGCAGAGGCATCTTAGAGGATGGGAAGTCTACTGCATCATGGTGATGGAGAAAGAAGAATGAGGAATAGAGCCAGAGAACCTCTCATTCTCAGTTTTTTCATTAATAAAATGAGGATAACAATAGCACCTACCTCACAAGGTTGTCATGAGGATCAAATGAGACTATATATTAGGTAAAGCACTTTGCAAACATTAAATGCTATGTAAACATGAGCAACTTTTTTTTTCATTTTCAAAATATAGAAGGTAGAATCTTCAACCTATTGGCCAATGACTTGACTTCATTAAGTGGGAAAGTTCTAGAAGGTATTATGTAAAAGGATGGTTTGTGAGCACTTAGCAAGGGAAATTATGATCACTGAGTGCCAGTCTGACTTCATAAAGATTAGGTTTTACCAGACCAGCCTCATTTCCTTTTGTTGACAGGGCAACTAGACTTACAAATCAGGGGAATACTGGATGCACATTATAACAGAATTTTGGCAGAACATTTGATAAAATACATCATGATATCTTTTTGGATAAGATGGATAGATGTGTCTTGATGATGGTACAGGAAGGTGATAGAAGTGGCTCAGTGATGCATGATATAGTCATTAATGACTCACTTTTACTTTAAAGGAGGTTTCTGGTGGAGAATCCCAGGGATCTGTCACTTACTGTGTTCTAGTCAATGTTTTTTTTTTTTTTATCATAACTAAGATAGAGACATGGAGTTAATTCAGTCTAATCCAACGAATCCTTATTAAATGTCTACTATGTGCAGGCACTGTGTCTGGAAACATGGAAACAAAATAGTCCTTGCTTTTAAAGAGCTTATACGCTTTGAGTTAATGTGTCCTTTGGATAGGTCCCACATTAGTCGGGGCACATGAGTTGTGGGCTTGAATAGATGCCAAGTCAAAGTGTGCCTTAAATTTTGGCATATTTTAAAGGGCCTACACTGGAGGGACACAAGGGCTACATATGAAATTTTTAATTTCCAGTTGCTTTCATAGTCCTGCATAGACAAAACCTCAATTTATTCTTTGGCTACTTATTCCTCCTCACCCTCCAACATACACATATACTATGATCATTCTTACTTCCATGTCTTTTCTCATTTTGTTCTACCTTGGACTAAATTTTACCTTTTTTACCGGGGCAAATTATATTCAGTCAAAGATGGTAGGATCTGATGTTATGATTTTTGATTGAATATAGTTCTAGAATAGGAAGCTCTAGCTTCTGGAATGTGAAGTTCATAGCTTTAGAATGGGAAGACACCTTAGAGGGCATTCAGTCCAATCCCGAGGAAGCTGAGGCTTGGGGAGTTAACAACTTGGCTAAAGACAGTAAGTGTCAGAGGCAGTATTTGAATTCAGGTCCTTTGACTCCAAAGCTGGTGCTCTTTCCACTGTACTACTTTCCTACTGGGGAGTACAGCATGTGCTCAGAAAAGTAGGTATATACAAGGTATATACAAATAGTAACATTTCATAGGGATAAAGTAATGAAATATAATTCAATGGGAGAATATGAAGGTCTTTATTTGAGTCTAAAAAATCAATTGCACATCTACAGGATGAGAAAAGGTATGGCCAGACAAAAGTTGATGTGAAAAAGACCCATGGATTTGGGGATTAAAAGTTCAATATGAGTTAACAGTGGGACATGGAACTTTGTAAAATGAATGTCATTTGAATGCTGTACTATGGAATGGAATGGAAATTCATTAAGTGCTTGCTTAATTAAGTGCAATGTACTGTGTTAAGCGCCGGGGATACAAAGAGAAAATGGACACAGTCCTTGTTCCAGGAGCTCATATTCTAGAAGGGAGAGACATCACCTACAGGAGAGGTTTCATGTCTGTGTTCAGTTCATAGTAGATGAACTGGCCAGGTAGTACATGGACAGGGAAGGGGAGAAGGTGAGGTCCCAAGGACCCTGGTGAAGAGGGCAAATGTTTCCCTATTGAGAAGATAGTGGATCCAAAAGTTAGAGTCAGGGGAGGCTCTGGGTTACCTCTGGCGGAGCTGGGGATATGGCAGTCAGCAGAATATGTCTTATGCTTGGTGGGAACTGAGCAATGATGAAATTAGGGTTGTTTACAGAAGAGGATTGTCTTTGGCTTCCCTCAGTGGCAGCAGGTAGTCCTAATCTGTCTTTTTATTTTTTAATATAAATTTATTTATTTTTAGTTTTCAACATTCATTTCTACAAGTTTTTGAGTTCCAAATTTTCACCCCATCTCCCCCTTCCCCCACCCCAAGATGGCATGCATTCTAAATATCCCTTCCCCTAGTCTGTCCTCTCTTCTATCTCTCTCCCCCTTCTTTTATCCCCTTCCCCTTCTATTTTCCTGTAGGACAGGATAGACTTCTGTACCCCATTTCCTATATTTCTTATTCCCCAGTAGCATGTGAAACATTTTTTAAACATGTTTTTAAAACTTTAGGTTTCAAATTTTCTCTCTTCCTCCCTCCCCACCCACCCTCATTGAAAAGGCAAGCAACTCAATATAGGTTGTACATGTGCAGTTACGCAAAACACTTTCATAGTAGACATGTTGTGAAAAACTAACTCTATTTCCCTTAATCCTATCCTGCCCTCCCATTTATTCTATTCTTTCTTTTGACCCTGTCCCTCCTCAGAAGTATTTCTTCTGATTACCCCCTTTCCCAATCTGCCCTCCTCTCTATCATCCCCCTGCTCTCTTGTCCCCTTCTCCCCCTATTAGGGTAAGACAGATTTCCTTACCCAGTTGAATGTGTATGTCATTCCCTCGTTAAGCCAAATCCTATGAGAATAAGATTCACTCATTCCCTCTCACCTTCCCCCATTTCCCTCCACTGTAAGAGACTTTTCTTTTCTGTTTTTTTTGTGAGATAATTTACCCCATTCTACCTCTCCCTTTCTTCTTCTCCCAGTATAATCCTCTCTCATCCCTTAATTTTATTCTCCAGATATGACCCCTTAATCTTCAACTCACCCTGTGCCCTCTATCTATCTATCTATCTATCTATCTATCTATCTATCTACCTATACATACAGATAATTTTTTTCCCTCCAACTACCCTAATACTGACAAAGGTCTCATGAGTTATAAATATCATCTTTCCATGCAGGAATGTAAACAGTTCAATCTTAATAAGTCTCTTATGATTTCTCTTTCCTGTTTACCTCTTCATGTTCCACTTGAGTCCTGTATTTGAAAGTCAAATTTTCTATTCAGCTCTGGTCTTTTCATCAGGAATGCTTGAAAGTCCTCTATTTCACTGAATGACCATTTTTTCCCCTGAAGGATTATACTCAGTTTTGCTGGGTAGGTGATTCTTGGTTGTAATCCTATCTCCTTTGCCCTCCAGAATATTATATTCCATGCCCTGCGGTCCTTTAATGTAGAAGCTGCTAAATCTTGTGTTATCCTGATTGTGTTTCCACAGTACTTGAATTGTTTCCTTCTGGCAGCTTGTAATATTTTCTCCTTGACCTGGGAACTCTGGAATTTGGCTATAATATTCCTAGGAGTTTTCCTTTGGGGATCTCTTTCAGGAGGAGATCTGTGGATTCTTTCAATTTCTATTTTGCCCTCTGGTTCTAAATATCAGGGCAGTTTTCCTTGATAATTTCTTGAAAGATGATGTCTAGGCTCTTTTTTTGATCATGGCTTTCAGATAGTCCAATAATTTTTAAATTCTCTCTCTTGGATCTATTTTCCAGGTCAGTCGTTTTTCCAGTGAGATATTTCACATTGTTTTCTAATTTTTCATTCTTTTGGATTTGTTTACAGTGTCTTGATTTCTCATAAAGTCACTATCTTCCAATTGCTCTATTCTAATTTTTAAGGAAGTATTTTCTTCAGTAATCTTTTGGACTTCCTTTTCCATTTGGCCAATTTTGCTTTTTAGGGCATTCTTCTCCTCATTGGCTTTTTGGACATCTTTTGCCATTTGGGTTAGGCTATTTTTTAAGGTGTTATTTTCTTCAGTATTTTTTTGGGTCTCCTTTAGCAAGCTGTTGACTTGTTTTTCATGATTTTCTTACATCACTCTCAGTTTTTCTTCTACTTCCCTTACTTGCTTCTCAAGATCCCTTTTGAGCTCTTCCAAGGCCTGGGACTGATTCATATTTTTCTTGGAGGCTTTGGATGTAGGAGCTTTGACTTTGTTGTCTTCTTCTGGTTGTATATTTTGATCTTCTTTTTCACCAAAGTAAGATAATATAGTCTGACTCTTTTTGCACTGCTTGCTCATGATCCCGGTGAATTACTTGAGTTTTAAACTCTTTGTTAAGGTAAGAGTCTGCTTCCAATGTGGAGAATGTACTGTCCCAAGCTTCGGGGGGTTTGTACAGCTGTTTTCAGAGATACTTGTAGGGACCTGTAAATTTTCAGTTCTTCCAAGGTGGTATGATAAGGGGCGAGGTGTTTACTCCTTTCCTGGCCTGTGACTACTAGTACTCCTTTCTGTCCTGTAACTGTGAGGAGGGTTTTCTCTCCACCGCCACTACAAGCTCCACCAAGCCAGAGCTCCTCCTCACCCCAGCACTGCCGCCCAGAACTCTGACCCAAATCCGAACACGGGCAAAGCAAGAGATTCCTGCCTCAGCACTGGCAAAGAGATCCCTGTAGTCCCTCTCTGATCAGCCACTGGATTCCCCCTCAGTCTGTGGGCTGGAAGCTTGGGAAGCAGCTGCCCCCTCCAGGGCCACGCTCTTGGGGAATGGAGCTGAGACCCCACCCTCCTTTCTCAGCACCAACAGAAACAAACTTTTCCCACTGACCTTCTAAGTTGTCTTTGGCATTGGTGGATTGAGGAGTCTAGAAACCTCCACAGCTGCCTGTGATTCAGTCCTCTGAGGCCTGCTCCAGGTTTGCTGTGGCCTGCGTGCCCACGCTGTGCTGCGCTGCGCTCCCAGCCCGGTGCGATACACCTTTGTGATCAATCATCCAGGTTGTCTTGGGCTGGAAATTTGTTTCACTCTGTCTTTTTGTGGGTTCTGCTGCTTCAGAATTTGTTTAGAGCCATTTTTTATGAATATTTGGAGGGGTTTGGAGGAGAGCTCAAGCAAGTCACCGCTTTCACTCCGCCATCTTAAGAAAGTGATCCCTAATCTGTCCTCTAGTGGCCCTTCTGTGGGCTGCAGGAAGTGGAGGTACCCAGCTCCATCTGTGGCTGTCAGTAGAGGTGGCTGGTCCTACTGGTTGGCTGCCCATGGGTAACATTCAGAACAAAGGAGGTGATGGTCCTTGTTGCCCTCAGCTCTCATTGGACCACATTGACAGTTTCATGTTCAGCACTGCGATAAACCACAGTGGAGAGATCATGCCATATGATGATCCATTGAAAGAACTGGGAATTCTTTTTGTCTGGAGAAGAGAAGACTTAAGGGTAAGATATAATACCTGCCTTCAAGTATTTGAATAGCTGTCCCATGGAACAGCATTAGACCAGTTGGGTTTTGGGTGTCCATACTACCTTTCTTTTTATTTTCATGCTGTTCTGCAAGGATAGAATGGATGGAAAAAAGTGCAAATCCTAGTCATTCTCCCTGATGGCAAGAAGTGCAACTGCAAGAATGGAACAAGTTTTAATCAATTTCAAATGTGAAGGACAACAGATTTCTTCCCTAAATGGTTAAATCATTACAGTTGTGACTGTAAGTAAAAGCAGATTGACTGGGATTAGAAATCCATTGATAATATTTATTGAGTGCCCTTGTGCTGTACGTTATATGTGTTGGTTGATATAAAGTACTTTGTGATTCTAGTGATATGTATTTTTTTAATTTTTTAAAATTATTTCTAGGCAATTGGGGTTAAGGGACTTGCCCAGGGTGATCTACACACATATAAAGGGTGTACTTGATTAAATTATGAAAAGGGAATAACTAATCTTTTGCAAATGATTTTCTTTAGCAGACCATATTTTCATAGTCATAGAATTAACTGGAGGGTACAGAGCAGTGGTCTCCAAAGTGTAGTGCACTTAGCTCAAGGGTAGGCAAGATGTTCTATTGGGGGTATAGGAAGAAAGTATTAGAATGTCTACTTACACTTAGTTTTATCTAAAAAGAAGAAATAAAACTTTACTAATATTTAATATATGTATTAACAATGGCACTCTCACTCCGTCCATGTGTCAGTCACATCTGATTGATTGAAATTGAGGAAAGAATGGGAATTCCACAGCATGGAGGTGTTGACAGTGGCCCCCATAGTTTTATATTCACTTTCGGCATGTAAGTGTCAAGTGTTTGTTCTGAGATCGGATTTGAACTCAGGTCCTACCTGACTTCAGGGCTGGTTCTTTATCCACTGTGCCACCTACCTGCCCCTCTAGTGATATATTTTGCCAAGACCTTTTGGACAATCCCTAAGAGGAATGCCCTGTTATCTTCTAAAGCTCTGTGTCATTGCCCAAAGTATACAAGCCAAAGTCTTCGCAAAAAAACTATTGAAAAGCTTTAGTCATGCATCCATATTCATTAACTTCTGCCAGAAAAACGCTTAATCAATCTTAACACATTCCTGCTTGACAAGGTAGAACAGCTGAAGGTTCTCTCTGGACCATGAGGTAACATTTTGCTATCATGTATGACATGATGCATAAGGAACCTTCTTTTGTAAGATCAAGAGACAGGAAAGCTTTCAAGCCAGGAGCAAGGGGAGACCACTCTTGGCATTTCCAAAGCAATTAAACAATTGAACTCAGACATAGGATGTCTAAAGTGTTTATAATTTCCTATTTATATTAACCTGTCAGCATGCAACTTTTCTGAGAAAACTGTTCAGGAGAAATATTTAATTTAGGTGACTATTTTTAGAATTTGATTTAATTTGAGGGACTTGAGTTTAGGTTGGATAAAGTAGACTCATATTCCAGGTCCTTTTTTTTGGAGGGAGGAGTAGAGTGGGTGGGAGAGTGGGGCTTTAATTTCATTCCACTTCTTGAACAGGTTAAAAACAATCTGGAGCACCTGAGATGATTATTCTTACCCTCTTTCTAAGGGCAGTTATAGATAGAGTGACAGGCCTGGAGTCAGGAAGATTAATCTTCCTGAGTTCAAATCTGGTCTCAGACACTTACTAGTTGTGTGAGTCAGTTTGCCTCAATTTCCTCATTTGTAAAATGAGTTGGAGAAGGAAATGACAAATCCCTCTAGTATCTTTGCCAAGAAAGCCCCAAATGGGGTCATGAAGAATAGGACATGACCGAAATGACTGAACAACAAACCCTCTTTCTTCTTCTTCCCCCTCTCTTCCTCTTTATTTATACTCTTCATCTCCTCTCTTCCCTCACCCTTTCCCTTCTCTTTTCCTGTTCCCTTCTCTTTGCTTCCTCCTCTGTCTTATTCTTTTCCTTTGCACTGCCTCACTCTTCTCACATTTTTTTCCTATCTCTTAGCTTAGCATTTCCCAAACTAATTTGACCATGGGAAAATTCAGGGATTAAAATGCATTGATGGAACTCATAAATTCTAGTCTGGAGGCCCTGTGGACCTAGAATAGATCACCTTTCCTCAGCATTTCCTCTTTCCCATGAAGAATGGATAAAATGTGGGCAAATAATTGATCCCATTTTCATGGCTTTCCATTGGTACTAATACTTTCAAAAAGGCAACCAAGAGGATATTAATAACTGCTGGCCTTCATGCTTGCTTCCTTATTCCTATAAAATCTTTATGAGGGTGATCTACGCACATATAAAGGGTGTACTTGATTAAATTATGAAAAGGGAATAACTAATCTTTTGCAAATGATTTTCTTTAGCAGACCATATTTTCATAGTCATAGAATTAACTGGAGGGTACAGAGCAGTGGTCTCCAAAGTGTAGTGCACTTAGCTCAAGGGGTAGGCAAGATGTTCTATTGGGGGTATAGGAAGAAAGTATTAGAATATCTACTTACACTTAGTTTTATCTAAAAAGAAGAAATAAAACTTTACTAATATTTAATATATGTATTAACAATGGCACTCTCACTCCGTCCATGTGTCAGTCACATCTGATTGATTGAAACTGAGGAAAGAACGGGAATTCCACAGCCTGGAGGTGTTGACAGTGGCCCCCATAGTTGTATATTCACTTTCAGCATATAAAAACATATTGTAGTTTGAATGTGCCTGTTTAAGTGGACTTAATGGATTATGTTAGTTCATTTCAACTGAATTGACCCTCACAAAATGGACAAGTGGATTAAAAGATTCCTGCAAAGAAACTATGGATTGAAGAGAATACTAATAATATGAGTTCAAAAGAACAAGAAAATGATAGAGCTGATACCTTTACAAAGAGTAAGAACTCTGTCAGCCACATAATAGGGTAAAAATGGTGATCTAAGAAAAAAATCACAGTTATCAAGATTATTTGAAGAATTTCAGTGGGTCTTGAAACCATTTGTTAAAAATGCAGCATTTGATTAGTTTGTTAAGAACAACTGGTTGCCCTCAAGGATGATGGAAATTTACTAGCCACATTTCAACAAACATTTCTGCATAATACGTAGATAGAATTGAAAAATGAGTATTAAGATTTAGAATCACTTCTTCCATTTGTATCTACATATCATTATGAGGTAGAAACCAGCTATGACATCCATTAAAACCAAGTGTCCAAATACACCAAACTTAAAACTAGACCTTTGAATTACTGTATCACAAAGCATTAAATCAAGATTTTAAAATAATAAAACAAATTTAATTACTCTGCTTTTTCAAAAGAGCAAAATTATTTATTCTGTCAATAAGATAAAATATTTAAAATGTTAGTTTCATCTTGATCTTATCTTTACAAATGTATATTTTGGTATGTTTATAGTGAACATATTATATTAATACAGTAGTATGTATATGCAATTTGTAAGTAAATAATATGCATATGTTGGGGGTGCATACTCAACATTTTTTCTTATTGATAAGGGTGTACCATCAAAAAGTTTGGAGACCACTGGTACGGAGCATACAAGATCCTATTCTGCTTACTGTTCATTAACTAGAAAAAGAAAAAAGAAATAATTTTTTTTTACCCAGTAGGGCAAAGCTTAGCCTTCAAACTATTTGTTTTAACAAAGCATATATGTTAAGATCATCTAAAGTGAATAATAGCTATTTTAAATGATACTCTAATTTTTAATATCAAGCAAGGCATACCAAGAAAGTCAATAAACATTTATTAATTGCTTATGAAGTACTAGACAGTGTACTAAGTGCTTGGAATGTAAATACAACAGAAATAATGACGGTTCCAGCAGTCAAGGAGCTTACATTTGAATGGGAAAGACCACACATAAAAGAAAGCTAAAAAGGTTGAGGGAGGACAAGAAGGCACCCTGTTTGGAGACATGATGGAGATGGTCAGAGAAGTACAGGCTGGTGGGAAGTGAAGAGTTGGCTAGTTTGGAGATTCTCCCAGAATCTTTGCACTCTCCAATTAGAGGGAGAGGCTGAGGGACAGAGGGTACTTCTAAGGTGTGAGTTTGTGAGTTCCAGGGCCAAAATGATCTTCTAAGATGAAGAGCTTTCTTGGGGCGTTAAATGGAGATGTCCAGAGGAGTGTAGCCTGGTGGGAAATGAAGAGCTGACTAAATTGTTTACTGCTGTTGTTGACTGACTGGCCATATGTCTGATGTTATCTATTCAGTTGCTAGATAATCTCTGTATAAACATTATTACCTTTTACATTTGCATCACAGTCATTTTTGTGGATTCCCTTCTACCCATCTACTTCCCCATACCAAGCCTATAACCAGCCTTCTCTTGTAACAAAGAATACTCTCAGGGAAACATCACTGACAAACAAGTCTTAAGGTATATGCAACATTCAACACCCACAGTCCCTTCTCTCTTCAAGGAAAGGAGGAAGATTAATTTCCTCACCTCTGGAGCCAAGATTGGTTATTACAATCATGTAGCATTCGGCTTCATTGTTCTTTTCAATTACTTTGTAGTCAATGTTCTGTATTAAGCCTTTATTCCCAACTACTAGCTCTCTCACCCAAAGTACTTTGTATTTAACTACTTTGTATATATTTTTTAACTTTATATTCACTCTTCATGTTTTTTATGTCCTTGACATCTCCTGCATTAAAATTTAAATCCATTGGCAGGAGAGATTGGTTCATTCTTTATATTTGGATCCCAGGTACAGTGCCTGGCATATGGTAGGTACTCAGTACTTATTGATTTGACTCTCATTTTACAGCAAAGGAAACTGAGGTCCCTATTTGAATGATTTTCTCAAGGTCACACGCCACTAACTTGTAGCAATGCTGGATCTCAGGCAAATGCTCTGAGCACTCCACCCCAGCTGCCACCCAGCCAAGGGAATGTCATTCTCTTTCTGTTGTGCCTCATTTATCACATGCAAATAGGTTTTTAATAAATGCATTTGATGATGATAATGATTTGCTTTTCCCTGATACCTCAAATCAAGCTTTCAGATTCACATTTAAGAATATCTGCAGTCACCCTTTGATGGAATGACTGACAGATTTCAAACATTTTTTTTATTAGCAGACAAGAAAAGAATACTCTATTTGAATAATTTTAGTGCCGAAATTGTATAGATGACAGAACACCCTGATGGGAAAATTTCTTGAGGCCTTTAATAACAAATTTCATTTAAAATATTTGAAGTCAATTAAATCACTCCAGATGAGATATAACTACTTATTTCAAGTAAAATTGTACCCAAATTATAAGGGCTTTGGGGTTTAGTATAATGTTGATATGTATTGAATATCACAAGAACAGCTATTTCCCCAGCATCCATCATTAGAACTACATTTTGGAAACCAAGGAAGCTGAATCTGATGACAAGACAATCATGTCTTCATGCAGACAATGACCATGACATGTCAGCCTCAGTCAAGTTTATTAGCATTTGTAGAGGAAAAAGAGAGAGAGAAAGAGAGAGATAGAGAGAGGAGAAGAGAGAGAAAGAGAGAAGAGAGAAAGAGAGGAGAGAGAGAGAGAGGAGAGAGAGAGAGAGAGAGAAGAGAGAGGAGAGAGAGAGAGAGAGAGAGAGAGAAGAGAGAAAGAGAGAGAGAGAGAGAGAGAGAGAGAGAGAGAGAGAGAGAGAGAGAGAGAGAGAGAGAGAGAGGAGAAGGGGGGGAGGTTGTGATGTGTTACTAGGTAGGGACAAAGGTCAACAGCCTTTTAGAAATATCTATAGTACAGCCGGTGCTATTTGCTATTTACCTACAACAGAGGGTTCACTGGGATGCAATTAAAACAGTTACATTACTACAGTGTTCTTCGATTCCTTTTCTATTTGAGGAAGTAGATCCTTGGGACATTCACAGTAGCCTGGGGACATGATAAATCCTAAAAATTAACAAAAAGATTTTCTAACCAAAAGTTTTATTGTAGTTGAGCTGAGAAATCCAGGAAAAAATAGGAGAGGATAGGACAGTGTAGAGTTCAGTTAAATCCAGAAAAGAAGTTCTGAGAAGCAGTTAACAGAAGGGTTCTAAGAAGAGTTTAAAGAGGAGACCCCAGTGCCAGCCTAGGCCCTTGTACCTTCTAGTGCAGCCTCGCCAAGGGAAAGAGGGCTTCATAATCACTGGCTGAGAGGCTTAGTCAGGAAGATTAACTGAGATAATTGACCGAAGAGAGGCAAGAAAGTTTTAAAGCTATTGGCTGATAATCTTGGCTGAGATGACTGAAACTTCATAGCCCTTGAATGAGAAACTTACCTGAGAAGCCATGCTGAAGAGGGCTGTTGTCCTTTCTGCCCAAGAGAAGTTTACTAAGCATAGCATCTACAGCAAATGAGGGTTAAATTGCAGGTGGATCTGAAGGTAGCCCCACAGCTGAGGAGTAGAGCTGAAGCATAGAAGGAGGCTCAAACAGCAAACTGATGAAGCCAAATGAAAGAGTTGTAACCTCTCATCTGCAGACAAAGAGGCTTATTAACTACAGCATACCTCAGTGGATGATGGTGATGGCTAGATGAGCCGGTGGAGGAACACAAATACAAGCATAGATAATGCATGTTGTACAGGGTTTGAGGTGACCATGAACAAAGCTGAAATTTATGACCATCAAAGATGCAAAGTAATCTCTGGTGGAGAGCAGCAGAGAAGATTGCCTGGTAGGAAAGCAGCACAGTGACATTAATTGATGGCATCAGCAGCTTTACTGTCTCAGAGGTCTGAGTTGCCCCTTGATGCATGTGACTTGGTCACACTGATTCTCTTTAGGACATTCCCTCAAGTATAGATGTCCTACGCATAATTCTTACAAAATATTCCCTCTTTTCACCATTTATGTATTTGTTGGAGAATTAGTTCAAGGTTTATAGGGCAAAGGAAATGTTTATTTATGTTGCCGTTTAAACAGAATTAAGTTAAAAGACATTAAAATGTTAACTTTTCTTATTCATCTGACTTCTATACTGTGACCTTATTGTTCCCCTGTAGTAATAAAGCAAACCTATTTCTTCTAGGTTTTCCTTCAAACCTTATCTTATCTATCCTTAGCATAACAGTTCTTGCCACTCCCAAAAATCTTATCAAGATAGAGCTTCTAAATGAGCTAGGCAGAGGGACTATATCAGTGATGTCCTTGCTCTCTGACGAAGAATTCTAAGACACAGGTTAGTACTTTCTCTGCAGCATATATAGTCTCAGATACTTAAAGCACTAGAGATTAATGTACTTGTCTAGAGTCACATAGCTACTATGTGCCAGAAACAGGATTTGAACCTCGGTCTTGCTAGCTTCCAGGTCAGATTATAAATTACTGGCAAATAAATGTTTTGAAAGTGTTTAAGACCTTTATTGTTGGCCCAAAGTGCCATATCTATTTTGATAGACTGATTTGAAATCAGAATAGGTACAGAAGCCCTGATTGACTTGGGACGGGGCTCCCTGGTTCCCATAATCACTAACTATGAGTCATTACTGATTTTTCATTGCTTTTATAGTCTCCTGATTAGTGAATCCAGTATTTGTCTGAGGAGTCTATTTATACTTTCTCATGTTAGGCTCTGCTGTCTTTCCCTAATCCATTCTTCTCCCCTCCCCCCTTCTCCCAACCCCATTCTGCCTACATACTACTCCCCTAACACACTCCTACCATCTGTTCCATTACTCCAACATTGCCAAATGGGTTGTTATTCACTAAAGCCTAAATGTCCGTGATGGAGCTATTGTTCCCAGGGGAGCGTCTGGAATAATGGGTAATCTGAATTTTTTGATTTTGTACATTTCCCTACTCACCCTCTGTGAAGCTATACGGATAATATGGTTGATTATAAAACAGGTTTAACATAAATAAAGAATGTTGTTGGTCCCAGGATGCAAAGCACCTTATTTTGTGACACCATGACAACTAATGGTTTCGAAGCCTGGTCAGAGGATCTAAGTTTGACTCCTGACTGTGACTTATTACTTGTGTGATCTTGGGTATGCCACATAGTGCTGCCCCTCGTCTGTAAAATGAGGGGGTTGTAATGTCTCATCTCTAAGGTCTCTTCTAGCTCTCGTTTTGAAGCTGAGGTGAAAAAATCATGCTGATTGACAGTATCAGACACATGGCTCCAGCAGCGATGGTGTGTGCATCTGGAACCTGCTTCCTTTTTAGAGTGATTGTGAGGGAGGTGGTTCAGATGTGAAAAATGAGAGTATTTTCTGTTATGCATTTGATTATTAAGTCTTTCCCTTCCTCCCTGCTAATGACACCATCAATGCCTGATCTTCTAGACTAGTAGGGTATAAAGTGTTCATCCTTGGAAGATAAATTAGTGCTTTCAGCCTAGGTCAGGCATGGGTAAGGATGGTGGGTCTTGCTAGACCTCAGTTATTTGAAGTGTTCCTTCACTAGGAAGTAACATAGGCAAAGTCTAAAACATGATAATGGATCAGATTATTAAAACTGGAACCCTAAAAGCTGGGGCCCATGGGAAATGTGGGAGGAAATTTGCCTCTGCTGAGGCCTTCCTTTTACTACCATTGATTTAAATACTTAGAGGCTAGTGCCAGGAAGTCAGTAAACATTATTAAGTGCTTCCTATGTGCCAGGCACTATACTAAGTGCTTATGTATATTTTAACTGCCTTGCATGTGGTAGAGCACAGAGAGATTGCGTGGTGACAGTATAGGGCAGGGCCTGGTAAGACGTGTCAGGTCTGTGCAAGGATTATGATTTGATGCTCCTGAGTATTTCTTCCTTATTCTTGTGGTTGTGTGTATAGCTGACCACAAATGCTCTGGAAGAGGTGGTTTGGAGCACAAGTGGCACGCGTATTCCCTGGGTTGATTGTGTGGTTGGTGATTGTGCTATTGCGTTGCCCAAAAGTTTAACCACAGGTCACAACAATCGGGGAAGTTGGGTAAAAAAGCTACATTTAAATTTCAGCATAAGGCTACATATCTGACTGTATGAGTTCATAGGCTATCAGCAACTTAGATTCTTAAACAGTTGCCTGTGACACCAAGAGATTGAGTGGAATGTCAGAAGCAAGACTTGGACCTAGATTTCTTAGCTCCAAGCTGGCTTTTTTGTCCCCTATCTCATACCACTTCTTATTACCACTGGAATAACAGAACCATAAGATATCAGTGTTGGCCATAACCTCAGAGGCATCTTCCCTGTCCCTTCTATGGAATTGCCCTATGGGAATCCAGTCTGAAAAAAAAAAACAACTCTCCTTTCCCTGGACTAGAAGGGCTGTCTAGGACAGCGATGTTTTACCTGGTGACCCCTGTTCTTCCCAGTCTCCCTTTACTCTTGCTTCTGCAGGCGTGTTCCAAGGACATGGCTGACATGAACCAGCCTTCAACCCCACTGGCTCTTGGTTAGATGTGGACCTAACCTTTCAAAGACATGGCAAAGAAACTGCAGTTCTTGAATTCAAATAATTTCCCTAGTCTGTACTATTCCCACAGTAATGCTATAAGGCCAACCAACATTTTCACATTAAAGGAGAGAAAGAAAAGGTAGGTTAGTTTGCATTCTGGGCCCTCAGGGTTATTGAAAGTAAATTTGATTTAATTCAGTCTATTTCTATGAGCATCTATTGAATGCCTCTTAGGTGATCTAGGTACTAGAGGTTATAAGTATATGCTTCATGTGATCCTTGCCTGAGGAGCTTGTGGGGTAAATAACTTTATTTATAAGACCAGTCCTGTGTAGTCCTGTGATTCAAGGGATAGTCTGACAGCCAGCTGGTATTTTCTGGCATTGAAAAATGGTGTCAAGCCTTGGCTGTCTAATGTCCAACTGCATGTTATTGAACATTATCTGTAACGTATTTAAATAAGTCAATGGTGAACTCCATGATTGAAAACCATGACCCGAATCCATAAAATCTCGTACACTGTGTAATTGAAACTTATTCAATCTGAGAGACATAGTGTTAACAGTTGCAGCAGCATCACATCACTAACCAAACATGCTAAACATGAATGTAACAGCCACTGAAAGCCTCTGGAGGCTAAGCTCACATTCAGAATTCTGATAAACAAGCTCTTGTACTTACTTATTCAACCAGCACTTGAATGAATGACCAGCTATTGATACGTGTTATGAAGAATTCCAAAATAAATTACTGACAAATACTTAATTATTTAATATCTAACTTATGTATCTATTCCAATTTGTATTTTACTTATTGGTATATATTTCCTATCTCCCTTTTTAGACTATAAGCTCTTTGAAGGCAGGGACAAAGGCTTTTTGCCACTCTTTCCCCAGCCATACAGGAAGTCTTATGTATTGTACATACTTGGGCTTAAATGGTTATTGAATAAATGAATGAACTTTGCTGTAGGTGTCCCAAAGAAAACATTCTATCTCCTTTCACATCATTACACAGGCTGTCCCCCAAATTTGGAGTGCACTCTACCTTTACCTCCACCTTCCAGAGTCCCTCCCTTCTACTTCCAACAGAAGCCTTATCCTGATTTCCTCCATTTGCTTCATCCAATTTCCTTGATATTTACGTTGTATTTTCTATTGATGGATCTGGGTGCATGTTCATCTCCAGTAGAATGGAAGCTCCTTTTTCATTTCTGTATACAAATCCCCAGTGACTACCCCAAAGCCTGACACATAGTAGGCATTTGACACATGCTTATTGAATTGGGCACTGTACCAAACAAATTTAATAGACTTGCTCCCTTTCCTCCAGCAGATTGCCTTTGACGGCTAACAACACAACACTCTCATCCCAGGGATATCAATGACCTACACTGAGCAAACACTGAATAAGCATATCAAATAAATCATTTGCTGGCCTATTAGTACTTATGGATTCACAAAGGGGTCACTGCTGATTGTAGGGCGCAGACTCTAGGAAGAGCCTTGGGAATGAGGAGCTTTGACGTGAGGGAGCTGGATAGAGTTTGCTGCTTTTCCAACTAGGTTCCAAAAACACTGCTAAAAGAACCCCTTAGTATTAAGGTATCAGTCATGTGTTCTGCTTTTAGAATTTCTCAAAGCTTAATTTTTCATTTCTCACAGTAGAGTCAGGCTTCCAATTAAATGCTAACACTGAAATCATTTGGAATTAATAGAACAAAATTAATTATGTGTTTTTTTGACCAATATGTACTCATTAGAGTAGAGCCTGATGCAAGCCCATTTTCTGCATTCAATGTCTCACTTATCTGCAATAATTGTCATTCACTCCTTCATTCAACAAGCATTTATTGAGTGTCTGCTATTGAGTGCACTGAGCAAGGTGCCAAAAAACAAAGACAAAACTATTATAGTTCCCACCCTCAAATTTACAGCCAGAAGGGTAACACTATATATATAATACTTATAAATTGTGAACACAATACCCTTTTGTCAGTCAGTCCAGATGTAGTACTGGTTTTTTAAAAAAATTTCCTTTTTTTATAATGAACTTAATAATCATCAACAAATGAATTCTGTCCACTCTTCCACTGCACCCTGTAGAATCTCTGTTCCATAACTAGCACACTTCCTTTCACTTTGGACTCTTTCTTTTTGTGGTCCTTCCATTTTCTGCTTCTTGGAGACCTGGCTTCCTGCAGATAACACTACCTCCCTGACCAGCCTCTCCAGTGCTGGCTGCCTTCTCATACTGCACACCCCTATTCATACCACACTGATCCTGGAGGGGAGTAAGGGTATTCCTTTACTCCCCCATGGTTACTTCCTGATTTTTCCCTTGTTTCTCATATGAAACCACAAATATCTATTAGGTATAGCGTTTATTTTTTTAAGGATATAAAATTTTCAATGTGCTCATTCTGAAGCTTTTCTGTTTGTCCCTTTCTGAACTTTCTTCTGTTCTCTTTTTAGCATTAAAAAAACTGATGG